CGTCGCTTGTCCCAGCTCCCGCCAACCTAGCGGTTCGAAAGCATGCAAATGCAAGTAGATAAATAGGGACCACCTCGGTGAGAAGGTAACAGCGTTCCGTGTCTAAGTCGCACTGGCCATGTGACCACGGAAGATTGTCTTCGGACAAACGCTGGCTCTATGGCTTGGAAACGGGGATGAGCACTGCCTCCTAGAGTCGAACATGACGGGACAAAAATTGTCAAGGGGAACCTTTACCTTTACCTTTAAGAGAAGAGTTACATGGCAATTGTGTTGCACACCTTATATTAAAATCTAGATCGTTTATCTAGAGATTTATTGGGAGAAAGGTAACCTAGACGTAAGGCAGGCAGGCAAGCAAGCAAATAAATAAATAGTTCTTGTCCAGGCCCCATTTCAAAAGAGAAAGCCTTGTTGACTACACACAACTGATTGGCTACCCTTTGAAAAAGGACCTATACCAACCCAACGGATCCATGAAAAGAGTGCTGCATTTTCCTTTTCACCATTACATTCAACAGTTCATGGGAATTGCAAGAATTGTGCCAGATGTGTTAAAGAAACAGACAGAATCAGTTTCTCACCGTTCGCACAGGCATACAGATGGCAGGTGGGTCACTGGCCACACCGCCAAATGAGTCTCCAGTTTTTCAGTTCTGGAACTCTCACAACCACACCACCGTATCATTTTAATATGTGGACAGGGCAGAGGGAAGAGATAAAAATGACATACTCTGTGACCGTTGTAACTGACTTCTTTCCCAAGACTTTTAATGCATTAGACACAGCAGTTTCTTTTTAAAGTAACAGCATTCATTAACATCATTGCACAGCTGAATTCACACTTCACAGAAACAAACAGGTCCAATTTACGCTCAAATATTGTTTCCCAAGAGAAATTACCGAACTCTTGCGGGAATAGGTACATTTTAAAAAAGTACAGTAGACTTACAATTTTACAAGGACTATGGGACAAATAGGTTCTCCTTTTTACACCCCTTTAAAAATGTATAACTAGTATGTATGGGTAGGTTTTTAATGGATCAGTTTAATTGACAAGGAATGGAACCAATAATCATAATGCCAATGAAAAATAATAGATCATCACACAACATAGCAGTTGTGTCACCAAGTATTGTCTTGCTCTCCATCTTCACTCCAGTGCTACTGAAGTAAAGCTCAAGAAATGAAAGATAAACTGCACCTATAAGAAGAAAAACTGTTGTGTAAGTGTTATTGGCATTCATGATTCCCAACATGATGGGATATCATGTTTGCGTAAGTGTAGATCACAGCATGTGTTTGCTGTGGGGTCTCGACTTACAGTGGGGTCTCGACTTACGAATGGTCCTACATACGAACTTTTCGACTTACGAACCCGCCCGATAGGGAAATAACAACTCAACATACGAACTTCCCTCGAGTTACGAACAGGAAAAGAGTGCCCCCTCCCTCCCCTTAGAGGCTTCTAGAGGGGAAAAAATGGTCAGAAACCTAAAAATAAATAAAAGAAAGTCACTTACCAGGCCTTGGTAGCCCCCGAGCTGCAGGAAAAAGAGCAGGAAACAGCTAAAAGCCGGCACCCAGAAGGGAGCCTGGCAGCCATTTTGTGCTTTTCTCTGCTCCTGCCCTCTCCTCTCCCCGCCTAACAGCTGATCGGCTGGCTCTGAAGAGGCTTGGGAAGGCTTGCTCAGCACCTAAAAAGCCTGCCTGTGTGTCTTTGTGCTGAAAAAAATCAGCACAACATGCTTTAAAACATGCTTTAAAATTGGCTTCATTGAAAAAAAAAGATTTCAGAAGTGCTTTTAAAACTGTTCCCTGCCTCCCCCC